AGGAGTGAAGCCAAAAGGAAAAGGGAGACCCCAGGAAAGTGGGAATACCAGAAACATAGATCATCTACTGAGGAAAGCTGCAAGCAGTGAACAGAGCCACCCCAAGAGAAGCCATGTGGGCTACAACTGGAGATACTGTAGGGGTGGGGCCATGCAAGCCCTTCAAAGCTCATATCTTGATACAACCTGCCCTAGGTGCTAGACATAGAGCTACAGGATTTAATATTTTTTCTGCTGAATTTTGGTCTTTGCAAACAATTCAGTTCACAAGCAGAACTGTTTGGCAAAATTATGCTTCCGTTTGCAAATTCCACATCAGATGACGAACATGACCATAGCCATCTTCCCTGTGCAAACGTGAACACAGCCATCATCCCAAGAATCATGGAATTAATTAAGTTCATGAATCAAGGTACACTGTCTTTTTTTTTTTGGTACTGAGGATCAAACTCGGGTCCTTGTACTTGTGAGGCAGCAGGTGCGGGAACCATTGAGCTAAATCCCTGGCCCCAAGCTACCACTGTATTGTATTCTTCAAAGTTGCTAACAGTAAGTAAATGTACTAATCATAAAAATGTGAGATAATGCATATGACGGATAACCCTGATTTAGCCATTCCACAATGTATACATATTTCAAAACATGTCCTAGTGCTTGCTTTGGCAGCTTATATACTAAAATCAAAACATGTCCTATATGATAAACACAGTGGTACCCTGGCTCACGAATTTAATTCATTCCATGATTCTAACAAAGATGAGGTCACCATTAGCATGAGAAACTGAAAAAATGTAAACAAAGTCTTTGTAAATAAAGAGGGGTAGAGGGGTTGAAGGGAGGGCAGGGGAATGGGAAAAATCAAGATACATCATCTAAAGGTACAAATCTCCAGTGATGAATGTCATTGTATTGTACACCTAAAATGTACCAATAAATCTAATCTTTAAAAAAGATGAGGTCACATTTGTGTTCATGTGGGAAAGATGGCCATGGTCCTGTTCATCACTAGATGGAGGATTCTCAAACGAAAACAAAATTTTGCCAAATGCTTCTGTTTGCAAACCAAATTGTTCACCAACAAATAGCATTTGTGAACCAAGGTGCCACTGTAGATACAGTTTTTATTCAATTAAATATAAATGGAAATTTCATAAGTCAATAATATGTCAACCTAAAAAATAAAATAAATGAGCAAATAAGTACCTTTTTTCAGGAAGGATGATTTTTTTTTTCCTCATGAGTTTATTGGTACATTTTAGGTATAGTAGTTACATTCATCATTGGGATCTTGTACCTTTACATGACAGGTCTTGGTTCTCATTTTTTTCCCTTATCCCTGCCCTCCCTCCCTCGCTTCCCTATTTACAAATACTTTATTTCCATTTTTCATTTTCTCATATTTTTTCTTACCCCTTATTTCCTTTCCCCTACCCTTCCCACTTTCCCTACATCTTTAGCCCTTTTCTTCCTATTTCACATTGTCAATTATATCATTAGGAGCTTATGTACCCTTATAGTTTTTCACACCAGAGAAACTATTCAGTATTTATACATGTGTGACTTACTTATTTCACTGAGGAGTATATCCTCAATATGTATCCATTTTCCTATGAATGACTTTAATTTTTCAATCTGTATGGCTGAGGAGTATTCCATTTTATAGAAAAACCACACCTTCTTTCTCCAGTCTCCAACAGATGGGCAAATGGGCTGTTTCCAAGTGTTAGCTATTACAAACTGTGCCGCTATAAACATGGGTGGGCATATATCACTGTGATATTCTTTTAATTCTTTTGGAAAGATATCCAGCAGAGGGATGGCTGGGTCAAATAGAACCTCTAATCCCAGCTCTCCATATTGATTTCCATAGTGGTTGCACTAGTCTGCACTCCCACCAACAATGGAGGAGGGTTCCTTTCTCCAGTCAGTTTCTTGATAGCAGCCATTCTTTGTGGGGTGAGGTGGAATCTCAGTGTTGTTTTCATCTGCATCTCTCCAATGACCAGTGATGTGGAACATTTTTGCATATATTTACTTGCTGCTTTTACTTGTCTGAGAAATGTCTGTTCATCTCAGATGCCCATTTTTGAATCAGGTCTTTATATTTGGGGAGGGCTGGTTTTTTTTTTAGTTCTTTATATATTCTAGATAATAGTCCTTTGTCTGAGGAGCAGCTGGTAAAAATTTTTTCCCACATTGTAGGTTCTCTTTTAGTTCTGTTGATGGTTTCTTTTTCAGTGCAGCTTTTTAATAAGATGAGACCCCAACTGTTGATTCTTTCTGCTAGTTCCCGTGCTACTGAGGATTTGTTCATAAAGTCTTTTCCTATGCCAATGTCTTCAAGAGTTCTGCCTAACTCATCTTCCAGAAAATTTAGTGACTCTTTTTTAATATTTAGATCTTTAATCCACTTGGATTTGTTTAGTGCATGGTGAAAGATAAGGGTCTAGTTTTAATCTTTGGCAGGTTGAAATCCAGTTTTCCCAACACCTTTTATTAAAGAGCCTATCTTGCCTCCAGTGAGGATGGTTGGCTCCTTTGTCAAAAATGAAGTAGCTGAGTACATCTGAAGTTGTTTTTGTATCTTCCAATCTATTCCACTGACCCTCAGGTCTGTTTCTTTGCCAGTACCATGCTGTTTTTATCAGTGGATTTGTAGTATAGCTTCAAATTGGGAATTGTTATACCTGCTGCCATGTCTCTGTTGCCTAGGATGGCTTTTGCTATTCTAGGTCTCTTCTGGTTCCAAATGAATTTTTGGATTATTTCGAGTTCTGTGAAATATGGTGTTGGAATTTCAATCGGCACTGCATTGAATCTGTATAGTTTTGGTAGTATGGTTATTTTCACTATGTTGATTTTTCCTAACCAGGAGCAGGGGATATCTTTCCATTTTCTTATATCCTCTTTGATCTCTTTTTTCAGAGTGCTGTAGTTTTCAGTGTAGAGGTCTTTTGCTTCTTTTGTCAGATTGATTCCTAGATACTTCATTTGTTTGGATGCTACTGTGAAAGGAATTGTTTCCCTAACTTCTCTCTCAGTGAGTCTGTTATTTGTGTACAAGAAGGCTATTGATTTTTGGGTGTTGACCTTGTAACCTTGTACTCTGCTGAAAGTGTCAATTAAGTCTAGAAGCCTTTTGGGGGATTTTTTTGGATCTTCAATATAGAGTATCATATCATCAGCAAATAATAAGTTTAACTTCTTCCTTTCCTACCTTTATTGCTTTAATTTCTTTCTCTTGTCTAATTGCTATGGCTAATGTTTCCAGAACTATATTGAAGAGGAGTGGTGATAGTGGGCATCCTTGTCTTGTTCCTGATTTTAACATGAAGGTTTTCAGTTTTTGGCCATTTAATATGATGTTGGCTGTTGGTTTTTCATAGATAGCCTGCATCAATTTGAGATACAGACCATCTATTCCAATTTTTAGCAGGGTTTTTTTAATCATGAATGGGTATTGAACTTTGTCAAAAGCTTTTTCCGCATCTATCGAAAGGATCATATGGTTTTTGTCCTTGGCTCTGTTAATACAGTGTATTACATTTATTGACTTACGTATGCTGAAACATCCTTGCATCCCTGGAATAAATCTGACTTGGTCAGGATATATCATCTTCTTGATGATCCTCTGTATTCTGTTTGCTAGTATCTTATTAAGGACTTTTGCATCTATATTCATTAAGGAGATTGGCCTGTAGTTCTCTTTTTTAGTTGGGTCTTTCCCTGGTTTGGGAATCAAAGTAATACTTGCTTCCAGGAATGAATTTGGAAGTACAGCTTCCCTTTCAATTTTACTGAAGTTTAAAGAGTAGTGGCAGTAGTTCTGCTCTAAATGTCTTGTAAAATTCAGCAGTGAATCCATCAGGACCAGGGCTTTTCCTTTGTTGTAACTTTCAATTACATTTGCAATTGCACTGATTGTAATTGGGGTGTTTAAAATGTTTTTATCTTCTTTGTTCAACTTTGGTAATTCATCATAAGTATCTAGAAATCTGTCCATTTCTTCTGTGTTTTCCATTTTATTAGAGTACAGGTTCTCAAAGTAGGTATTGACAATCCTCTGGATTTCTGTTGGATCTGTTGTGACTTCACCTTTTTCATTCCTAATTGCATGGATCTGAACCTTTGCTTTCCTTTTTTTTGATGTTAGCTAAGGGTTTATTGATTTTATTTATTCTTTCAAAAAACCAACTCAATTCATTTATTTTTAATATCATTTTCTTAGTTTCTATTGTATTGATTTCTGCTCTAATCTTTATAATTTCCTCTCTTGTATGAGCTTTGGGTTTTTCTTGCTCTTCTTTTTCTAGGAGTCTAAGATTCATCATTAGGTTGTAGATTTGAGCCCACTGTTTTCCTAGTGTGGGCATTCAATTCAGCTATGAATTTTCCCCGTAGAACTACTTTCATTGTGGCCCACAGATTCCTGTATGTTGTATTGGTATTATCATTTATTTGTAAAAACTGTCTAATTTCTTCTTTAATATCCTGTGATCCACTGATTGTTCAGGAGAATGTTTTCCATTTCCATGTGTTTATGAAGTTCCTATGGTTTCTTATGCTATTGATCTCCAGCTTGATTGCGCTATGATCTGATAATATACAAGGGATAACTTCAATTCCTTTGCATTTACTTAAACCTGTTCTATGAGCTAGTATGTGGTCCATCTTGGAGAATGACCCACGTGCAGCCGAAAAAATGTATATTCTGATTTTGTGGGATGGAACACTCTATAGACGTCTATTAAATCCATATGTTCAAAAGCTTGGTTCAGTTCTAGCATTTCATTGTTGATTTTTTTGCCTAGATGATTGTTCTATTTGTGATCATGGCATATTTAGATTCCCCACTACAACTGTATTAGTGCTTATTTGGTTTTTCATGTTACTTAATATTTGTTTTATATAGTTGGGGCATTAATGAATATTTGCTGCATATATGTTTATGACTGTCATCTCTGGAAGGATAATTATTTTAAAACAAAACCAAAGCTTACCAAAATTTTCACTGGCTTCACTAGTTTCCTAGTTATGACACCTGGAGCTCTTAAACGAGTGGTTTCCAAAATACACCATTTTATTAGCAAGAGTTTCTTCAACTTATCTTCTGACACTGTGATCTTCTCTTTACCTGTCAAGAGAAGAAGGATGGAATAAAAAACCAGAAAGCAACATCCCATGGTCCTGTGTGGTCATGGCTGAGGTTCAGTACTGCCTCTGGCTGCCAAGAAAGTGCTACTTGTGCTTTTCATTTTTTGACTTTTTCTGCAATGAGATGGATGGGCCTCTGACTTTGGTTCTCATAGGCCCACTGTTGTGAAGTAAAGAAAATCCCTGTTGGGAAGGTGTTCAGTTTCCTCCTCTCCTCCATGTTGCCCAAGTTCTCCTTCCATGGAAGGACAAAACAGTGGAAGAGGGTAAGATCATTATTAAACCCTACTGGTTGGCATTTAGTGGAGAGTAAAGTGCTAAACACTGCAGGAAGCAAAAATGTTAACTGTCAGGAACCCTTTATCCTCATACATTACAGATTCTAACTGTAAAGCAAGAATAAGTACAACCTTAAGATGGTGTTTAAATGAGAAATTTGGCGGCCATAATTTGTAGATTATTTGGGGATGACTCCCAAACTTAGAGCAGTGCCCAAAAGGCTCAATACAAGGAAATGTTTATCATTATAGTAACCTCATCAAATGAACATAGTGATTCTAAAGAAACCGTATCTTCCTGATCTCTTATTTCACAGATGATGAAGTTACTTTTCTCCCTCAAACCAACCCAGCTTCCCTCCTTTGTTCCTTCCTCCCTCCATCCTTCTTTCCCACCCTTCCTCTCTTTCTGCAGTATTGGCAGACTGAATCCAGGCCCTCGTGCATGCTAGAGCAGTGCTCTATACCTGAGTTACACCCCCAGCCATTCCTGAAACCTACACAGCACAGGGCTGAGTCCCACACTAGCTAGAGACCCTGTCTGAGGGATTCTTTCACTCCCTCTGCTGTAGTGCAGGTTTGGTTTGTCCTCCAAAGTCCATGTGCTTGAAGCCAGGTCTGCAATGTGCTATCCTGAAAGGTCAGGTAACTTCTGGTGACAGGTGTCTGGGTCAGAACCTCTCTCGCAAGGGGATTAGTGCCTACCTTGCAGGACTGGGTTAGTAACTCAGAGGAGAGTTGTTATAGGGCATGGCCACCATGTGCTTGGTCTCTTTTGCACTAAGTTTTTCACTTCTCTGCCACATTGTGATGCTGCCAGGGGACTCTGGCCACTCTGCAATTTGACCTCTTCACTGTCATAGTCCACAGCCAAATGAATCTCTTCTTTCTCAGACTTTCTCAGCCTCAGGCATTCTGTTATAGCAACACAGGGCTGGCAGAAGGGGTGTAGGTGCTGAGGTGGGAATGCGGGGGGTGGTGGCCCTGGGCAGTACTGTGGGAAGGGAGCCCTTAACATGGGGATCTAACTCCAGGTAGCTGGTGTTAGAACTGGGTTAAATTATTGGATACCCTGGTGGCATCTGAAGACACCTGTAGGACCACATGGTGTGGAAAACCAATGCACCCAGCATCATCCAGCCCTTTCACTTTGGGGAGTGGAGCTTATCTCTCCCTCTAACCTTACCCCACAGTCAGTCGTGGAGTCACAGTAACCTGAAATTTACCCAATCTCTCCACCTCACACAGTTAGCTCACCTCAAGAAACAACAGGAGCGTGTTTACAATGATAACTGGCAAATGGCAAAAATTCAGTCCATAACTCATTACATTATTCATTCCTCCACCTTTCCCTGCTCATTGGAAACCAGGCTCCCTCACACCCTTCAGGCCTTTGCTAAAACATCTCCTGCCTGACCACCTTGGCAAACATCTCCCTGATCACTATCAATTCTTATTGATATAGTTCTTATTGACATATTAATTAACTTAGCTAACTGCTTATTGTTGCCCCCTCTAAATAAGACATGATTCCATTAGTTCAGCATCTTGTTTCTTTTATCGTTTGATGCACACCCAGTATCTAACGCCGAGCCTGGCACATGGCAGGGGAGGGGCGGTGCTCCATACATTCTATTAAATGGAAAACTGGATGGCTGAATGGAAGAATGTCTAAGACAGGGGAGGCAAAGACTGTTGAAAACATCTGTAGTCTGTGTAAAGGCAATAGAAGAGATCTAAGGAAGTCAAATCAGGAAGACATTTTTGAAGTAGAATGTGAACTGTTTATTTTCATGGTACTGAGCTATGTCCCCAGCCCCTGAACCTTGTGATCCTCCTGCATCAGCCTCCCAGAGTGCCAGAATTATAAGTGTACAACTACACTGGGTTGAAAATTTTTAAGTAAAAAAGAATTTAGTAAAAAGGTGGTGTATACCGGACCAGTGTTTCTCTGGCACCAGGGATGCACGGCCTGAGTTCCCCGTGACGTGGATACTGCAGCACCGGGGACCACACTGCAAGGAATGCAAAGCTGGAGCAAAAGAAGTAGAAGATACCCTCGGATTGTGTTTATCAAATGTTCTCGGCTCAAGGCAGTCCTTATGACTGGCTTCAAAAATTATTCTTTTTTTTTTAATATAGGTAAACATATTCAGTGGGTAGAAATTATTTAAATCAGAAATTCTGAGTGCATGTACTGACCCTGAAAACCACTAGGTTTTACTAGCATGGATATACAATGGCTTTTATTTCTTATTAAGCACATAAAACTTGGAAAATGTGATGACCAACTCTGACAGAACGCTGAATTAGCCAGGACTTCAGAAATGGACCCCAAATGGTACTACTTTCCCTGAAGCAGGAGTGCCAAGGTGCTCTCTGGGGCACCGGCAGATCTTCCACAGAGCCCTGTGCATTCCGCCCTGTTCTTCCCTACATGAGACCACAGCCAACGGCATGTGAATGAGAGTGTGGCCAGCGGGCCAGGTCTACCACATTGTCTCATTCTGTAAATGTTTGTTTGCCGGAAGAAACAGCAACACCCATTCATTTGTATGTGGCCTATGGCTGTTTCTGCCCTACATCAGCAGCATTCTCAAGAAGCTACAGAGACCTTATAGTCCATGGCACCTAAAATATTTAAATATTTACTATCTCGTCTTATGTAGAAAAAGCTTGCCCCTGCTTCAGGAAGATGAAGGGAACAAGCTATTGCTTTGCTATATCCATTGTGCCTCCTATTACCCAAAGTCCAGGTTGTATTTCAGCATGTGAATTTTATAACACTCCACAGCTGGTGGGCTGTTTACTGCTCTTAACATTTCTATGACCAAGTCAACTGCATAACATCTCACAAAGCATCCAAGTAACTGTGTGACATATTTTACAAGGAAAATGCAGACCACTTCTCAGAGGAAGAAGTATCTCTGTTTAGTATTCAATATTAAATGGAAAAATTATGTTAAGAAAATCCATTCCCCAATCCTCAACTTCTGCATTCACTCTTTCCTAAAACGGACCTATCTAATAAAACACCATGGACTTGTTTGTTCTCTTTCTCCACCACATATCCGATCACCTCTTCCCTACTTCTCAGTACAATTTTTTGCCTCTCAGCCTTCCTTATTTTCAATCTGCTGCATTTCTCGTGAAGTGCAAACATCTCTTGGGTAAATGATAAAAGGGGGTGATTAGATAACACAGGGCACTGAGGGAAAAGCCCTTGAGAGCACCTGTCTCTCTCATCTTCTCACTGCCCAGCCCTGCCCACAGACCACCCACTGCTCCTGTGTACAATATCGTGGAACCAGAACAAAAGAGTGGGCTGTGTGTATGGCAACACACAGCACCATGGTTATTCCCACTGAAAAGGGCCAGAGAAATAGTCTCTGTTGGAAAATACGTGGGACTGGGGGGTTAGTCTGATAACAAGGACTGCTTTAGGAACTTAGTAATAGGGCAGCTGTTTTTCATAACTGAATGAATTAAATAGCTTTTGTTATAACAAATGACTTTATACTAAATAAAAAATGACTTGTTTAAAGGTTTTAAATAGACTAAGAGCATGGAGGCAATATATGAGGAGGGACATCCTTTGCAAATACTTACACACAGGGTAACAGATACCAGTCATCAACTTAAAATTGAGATTTAAAAAATTCTGGGATTGGAATATACTTGAGAAAGAAAAGGAGGAGAAAGGAAAAAGGAAGGAAGGCACTGCCTAAAGGCATATGCTGTGATACAGCCCTACGGTAGAAACCTTAAACGAGCAGAGTGAGGAGATAAGAGGCCCGGGCTGGGGCATATGAGAGATGAGGGAGATGAGTGTGGAGATTTCCAAGGGAGGGGCTGAGCTCCATGGCAGGGGGTTACCTAGTAAATCAGTGAAGAAGCTCTGGGAGTGACTGGCAATGAGACTTTTAAGTTGTTTCTGGAGCTAATGTGAGTTTTCTCTTCCCTTGCCTCATTTTTAAAAATTTTTATTTTATTTTATTGGTACTGGGGATCGAACTTGGGACCTTGCACTTGCAAGGCAGGTGGCAGAACTACTGAGCTAAATCCTAGGCCCTAACATTTTAATAAAGTTAGGTATCAGTGGATTTTTAACAGCTGGAAAATGAAGATGTGGGTGATTTCATGCAGGAAGAGTCAGGGTGTGCCAAGGGGGAAGACAGCAGACACAGAACCCAGCAAACACAGGGAGTCTCCATGTTCAGCAGCCTCTCCCACCTTGCCCTCCAGAGATTCCCAGAAATCTGAGATGGGGCTCATCCCAGTTTCATCTTCCTTTTGAAAACCAAGGAGGCCTTGGTCCCAGCAAGCTAGGACACTTGACAAATCGACATTACAAATAAATTACCAGCAACCTACAGTTTTGATTCTAGAACTCATTTTTTTCTCTAAAACCGTATTTAGAGCATCTACATTGGACAGATTCACCAAACATTCCTTCTACATTTAAAAAATTTTAATTTACTACAGCCTTAGGACACAGAAAAGAAATACTTTTCCACTTGGCCAGGGATAGACAGTAAGCCCCCTTTCCTTATAGACAGTAAGTGAAGGCCAGGGTGTATCCTGACAACCAGATCTGAGCTCCAAAGTGACCTGCCCTGTCTAAGACAGGCCTCATTCTAGCCCTGAAAAAAAAGTTTGTACTGCAGTCATGGTGAAGTTTCTGACCTTACTTAGAAAAAGA